CTGCACGGGCTGCTGCAGGAGTAGATGAACAGGTCAAGACTAACGAATACGTATTATCATCAATAGAAGTTCTGCACGGGCTGCTGCAGGAGTAGGTGAACAAGTCAAGACTACACTTAAAAGACGTCCTTTTTGAACGAAGCCCCCGCCGCGCATGGATATAATGAACGAGGTGAGTTCGAGGTGAGTTAAATGCGATACAGTATGAGGCTCACCAAAAAAAGAAATCCATTTTTCCCTAGTTCGACTCCCCAACCCCGCTTCCCCTGCAGCTCGCCCTTCGGTCTATATCCTCGCCCAGCTGCCCGCCAGCCGCGCACTAACTTTCCGATCTAATCTGCGGAGCCCCTCCGCGTGGACGGGCGAGGCACGGCCGTCGGCCACCTCATCACCCCGGAAAGAGGGGGACGGTCGGGTTGGGCACGGTCCACGCCCGACTGGCTTTTTTGTGTCATTCGGAAGCGGTTGGTCTGGTTAAAAAAAAAAAAAAACACCTCTGAGTCCAAACCAAAAGTGTGGGGATGAAAAGGGTAAAGAACGAAGTGCAGTGATGTGATTAAATAAATGGATAGTCAGTTTTTCCCTTTCTTTTTGCCAGTGGCACTTGCCCGCACTCGCCAACATACCGTCCCTTCCGCACAATCTGGCCCCCGCCATTCGGTCAGGGCAGTCGCGATCTTCAAGGCCAGCCTCCTCCTCGGGGTCGGGGCCCCGCCGCCCTCGGCGACTACCACCGCTATTTATCTGCTCGTATTCTCCTTTTTACAGCGAGGGCCCCACCCCATAATTGCCCAACTAACTGCCTCACCGGCGACAAACGGGCGTGGTGGAGCGTAGCGGCGAGCGTAGCGCGGCTGCGCAGCTCCTCAGCCCCTCCCAGCGCAGCGCTCCGACCAAAGCCTTCCAAAGAGTTGCATTCTCAAAAGGCGGTACTAAACCTAATACCTCTCACGTCCCCCTCCACATCTCCCCCTCCCTCCCTTTTCGGACCATCCTTTTACACCGAATCCTCTCACCGAAGTCTTCTTGTGCGCCAGTGCGGAGTCAGTCGCTTTCGCCCAAATAGATGGAAGAAGGTATGCCTTTGCGACAGGTAGGGTTCTCTGAAAAGGCCACCACGCGGCCACGCAGTTCGAAGAGAAGCATAATATACAATTGAACACAAATTATTTTGAAAAGAAAACAATTTTGAAAAGGAGAGGGTGTAAAAAAAATTGTCAGTGTCCCAGCGCCCTCTTGCGCCACAGCTGGCCTTGGAATCGCCACATTTACATACCGTGATGTGGGCCGGCATTGCGGCATGACAAGCCAGCCCGTCTGCAAGAACCAATAATCCTACCCCGGACAGCCCCCCGGGGGCGGAGGGGTTGCACTCTGCCAGGCAGCAGGGGGGGGGGGGGGGGGGGCGGAGGGGTTGCACTCTGCCAGGCAGCATCAGCTGCTGCAGGTGGCGTGAGGGAGGGAGGCGCGAGGAGGGGGGCAGCTCTGCTCGGTGTGCTCGATGTGCCGTTTAGCAGCGATTTCCACCAGCTGAGGACCCGCATAGCACAACACCATCCGTGTAAAGAGCCTGGTTTTGATCGGGAAGTACAAGAAAAACCTATCTGTACTGGACATCCCTTGCCATCGGGGCAAAGTTCCCCATAAGCATAATGATGCAAACCGCAAAGGGTTTTAATTTCGATATCTGTCTTCTCTTTGCTTCACATTCCGAAACTTACTTTTTGT